GCTGACTTATTCAGCAGCTTAACAAAAGGACTTGTTTTTTTTCATCTCACAGCTCTGATATTCTTGATGGTGTTTTACCCTCAAGCTGACAGCAAAATGGCTCTAACAGTGCTAGGTATCACATCTAGACACACTGTCCGAAGAAGAAAAGATGCTTTCTCTTCCAAGGGTTCTCTCAGCAGTGAGGAAACTTTTCCTAGTTACCTACTTCTAGACTTTCCCTCCTCTCATGTCATTTGGGTTACAAACTCATTCCTAAACCAGTGTTAGTTAAAGGAAAATCCCTTCCCCTTGCCAATCAGAGAAACCCCTAAAGCTGAGGATGGGGCCAGCTTCACCCCAGGCATATGTCTGTGAGAGACAAGAAAGTCAGTGCAGTCAAGTCACACATTGCTTAGCAACAGGGATACGTGCTATATGGGATAGCCTATTGCTCCTGAGCTACAAAGTTGTACAGCATATTACTGTACTGAGTACTGTAGGCAAATGTAACACAATGGTTAAGTATTTGTGTCTCTAAACATAGAAAAGGCACAGTAAAAATATGGTATTATAACCTTAAGGGAACACCATTGTATCCTTGACCAAAAACATTGTTATACAGGCCATACTGTATTCCAGTAGTCAGGAAAGGAGAACAGATGCTGAGAAAACAACCAGTCACAGTATCCACAAAAGAAGGAAGGAGCAAAAGCAAAAAGAAGGGAAGCTGATGGGAAGTTGTAAGGGATTTTCACAGAGCACTAATAACAGGCTGGCTGAAACAAATGGTTATATGGGGAATTAACAGGAGGTACAACTTAAAGAATCACTCAAGTAGTTATAAATCTGCCTAACTATATAGGTCATCTCTAGAGAGACTGCCAAATCTGGAACACCCCAGACCTACAGAATCAGAATCTCTAGGGCAGTGCTGTCCAATAAAACTTTCCATGATGCTGAAAACTATGCTACATCTGCACTGTCCAATCAGTAGATGAAGAACTTAATTTTAGGCCAGGCATGGTGGCTCACACCTGTAATCCTAGCACTCTGGGAGGCCGAGGCAGGAAGATCACTTGAGGTCAGAAGTTCAAGACGAGCCTCACCAAGAGCGAGACCCCATCCTTACTGAAAATAGAAAGAAATTAGCTGGGCGTGGTGGCTCACGCCTGTGGTGCTAGCTACTCAGGAAGCTGGGGCAGGAGGATCACTTGAGCCCAGGAGTTTGAGGTTGCTGTGAGCTAGGCTGATGCCATGGCACTCTAGCCCAAGCAACAGAGTGAGACTCTGTCTCAAAAAATAATACTACTACTAATAAAATTAAATTAGAAAATTAAAAAAAGAACTTAATTTTAAACTTTCATTTAATTACTTTACATTTATATAGCCACATGTGGCCTATATAAATTGGACAACCCAGCTCTGGAGCAGCTCCAGAACCTACGTGATTCTCACAAGCAATTGATTTGACTGATTAAACTCACATTTGCCCAACATGTTCACATGGATAAAATGAAAAGCAATCACAGGTGGGGCACAGTGGCTCACACTTGTAATCTCAGCACTTTGGGAGGCCCAGGCAGGAGGACTGCTTGAGGCCAGTTCAAGACCAGCCTGGGCAAGAAGCAAGACCCCGTCCCTACAAAAAACAGGAAAATTAGCTGGGTGTAGCACACATCTGTAGTCCCAGGTACTTGGGAGGCTGAGGTAGAAAACTCACTAAGGTCCAGGAGTTTGAAGTTGCAGTGAAGCTATGAAATCACCACTGCACTCTACCCAAGGAGATAGAGCAAGACCTTGTCTCAAGAAAAGAGAAGAGGCCGGGCACGGTGGCTCATGCCTGTAATCCTACCACTCTGGGAGGCCAAGGCGGGAGGATCGTTTTAGCTCAGGAGTTCGAGACCAGCCTGAGCAAGAGCGAGACCCTGTCTCTACTAAAAATACAAAGAAATTAGCTGGACAACTAAAAATATATAGAAAAAATTAGCCAGGCATGGTGGTGCATGCCTGTAGTCCCAGCTACCCGGGAGGCTGAGGCAGGAGGATCACTTGAGCCCAGGAGTTTGAAGTTACTGTGAGCTAGGCTGACGCCATGGCATTCTAGCCCGGGCAACAGAGTGAGACTCTGTCTCAAAAAAAAAAAAAAAAACAACAACAACAACAACAACAACAAAAAAAATATATATATATATATACACACACACACACACATAGAAAGAAAGAAAGAGAAGCAAAGCAATCATATGTCTTACTGCAACCCAAATAGTTAAAATTCCCTTTTTCTGCCTCAAAAAAAGAAAATGATATTATTATGGCAAGACTTGTTTGTTCTCAATGAATCCATGTTGTTCCTTGTGATCACTGTACAAGAGCTTTCAGAGCATCTGTTTAATGAACTCTCAACAGATTTTTCCAGGAATAAAGGTCAAGTTAACTAACCTAAAGTTTGTAGCAATTTTTCTTCTTTAATGCAAATATTTTGGAGCATCAATGGAATACCACATATTCCACTTTTAATGCCTTTTTTTATTTTTTATTTATTATTATTTTTGTTTTGGGGGTTTTGCTTTTTTTGCTTTGACATAAAGTAGTCTCCTTTATTTTTCTTGTGGTGGTCACTTTATAATTAAGTATATTTAAACCTTGATGTCTTAAATCAGCTAAGAAAAATGAACAAATTAATAATTCCTTTCTCCCATCTCCTTTTCTGTTCCCTATTTATTATTTAATATTATCAATTCAAATGCTCTTTTTGAATATTATCCACTCGAATACATTTTCAACCCTTCCAAATAAAAAAACCACTCTCTTTGATAAAGGTTATAGCAAGATAATACCTAAACAGCTTTGCGTTCTGTTATCTCTAAACAAAGTACCATTTGCCCTAAGCAGACTTACCCCTTTTTTGTTCTTGTATGCTCCCAAAATAATTTTAAAGGCCCTTTTGGTTATTTTAGAAAATTTGAGAGGCCTCAGCTCAATCTAGCCTTTGACTTTCTTAACTATGTTCACAGGTTTGTCCCTATGACTAATAAACACCTTTTAATATTTGAAATTCCTTTACAAATTCTACCTTGCATATCCTTTAAACTCTGGACTCATAGAGCTATTTCTAGTTATACAACTCTCTACAGATGTCATTTCCTTTTCTTTCACATTTGGATCATAAAAATTTTAACAATCCCCGCCTCCCTTTTTTTTGAAGACAGAGTCTCGCTCTGCTGCCCCAGCTAGAGTGTGGTGGCGTCAGCCTAACTCACAGCAACCTCAAACTCCTGGCTCAAGTGATCCTCCTGCCTCAGCCTCCTGAGTAGGTCAGACTACATGTAGGCGCATGCCACCAGCTAATTTTTCTATTTTTAGTAGAGATGGGGTCTCCCTCTTGCTCAAGCTGGTCTCAAACTCCTAAGCTCAAGCAATCCTCCCACTTCAACCTTCCAGAGTACTAGGATTACAGGCATAAGTGACAGTGCCGGCTTTAATAATCCCTTCTAATCTTAAACATCTCTGAGAAGATTGAGCATCACACCTGTATTTTCTCTGAACTTTCCACTACTCTCATTTTAAAGTAGTAGATTCAAGACCTACTATAGCCAGTATTTCCCCACTTGACCATCACTGATTCTAAAATATGACCTCCTTTTTGAAGTTTTATAACCTACTTTTCAATCATTTCTCCTTTCCCTGATCCACAGTGAAAGCTCCCTTAGTTTTCTGCCTGAAAGCTGAACAAAATTATAGCTCATTTCAGATTTTTCTTTTTTTAAAGACAGGGTTTCTGTCACCCAGGCTGAAGGAACAGTGGCTGGATCATAGCTCACTACAACCTTGAACTCTTGGGCTCAAGCAATCTTCTCACCTTGGCCTCCCAAAGTGCTAGGTTTATTGGCCCAGTCAGATATTTCTTCTTGTAACTAAATGAAGACCTTTACAGATATTCAGATGATTGAAATCCCCTATCACTGCATAGCTATTTTTCTGTACCTGTAGTCTCAAACAGAAATGTATCATCTATTTATTATACCCAGCAAGGGCAATTTGTAGTAAATATTCAAAATGCCATTTTTCTCTTTGTTCATTCATCCAAATTTATTTTGTGCTTCAATAAATTTATCGATTTCTATACAGATATGTTGATATGTACATCTGGAACTATACTGAATCTCTCTTCAAGATTTGTAGGGCTGGGCGTGGTGGCTCACACCTGTAATCCTAGCACTCTGGGAGGCTGAGGCGGGAGGATCGCTTAAGCTCAGGAGTTTGAGACCAGCTTGAGCAATAGGGAGACCCCATCTCTACTAAAAATAGAAAAATTAGCCAAGCACACACCTGTAGTCCCAGCTACTGGGGAAGCTGAGGCAAGAAAATCGCTTGAGCCCAGGAGTTTGAGATGCAGTGAGCTACAATGATGCCACTGCACTCTACCCAGGGTGACAGAGTGAGACTCTGTCTGGAAAAAAAAAAAAAAACAGGTTTTCCATGAATAAGGTTATGTGCTTCTATTGTCAGGCTTTGATCAACTACAATGAAGAATATGTGATTTGAGTTGTATTTATGAAAGTTTATCACATACATTTTTTGCATTTAATTTATTACCATGTGACACCACCATTATTGTTTTAAATTCTATCTACCTATTACTTCTATTCCTTTTTTTTTTTTTTTTTGAGACAAAGTCTTGCTCTGTTGCCTGGGCTAGAATGCCATGGTGTCAGGCTAGCTCACAGCCACCTCAAACTCTTGGGCTAAAGCAATCCTTCTGCCTCAGCCTCCCAAGTAGCTAGGACTACAGGCATATGCCACCATGCCTGGCTAATTTTTTCTATATATTTTTAGTTGTACAGCTAATTTCTTTGTATTTTTAGTAGAGACGGGGTCTCACTCTTGCTCAGGCTGGTCTTGAACTCCTGACCTTGAGCAACCCTCCGCCTTGGCCTCCCAGAGTCCTAGGATTACAGGCATGAGCCACCACGCCCGGCCTCTATTCCCTTTTTAATTGCCCTTCCCTCCTCCACCATTGATCTTCCTGTGACATAACAGATGCATCTAAGGTATCATTTTATAGTTTCAACCACATATTGTTCTCTTTTTTCTCCCCTCTATTTGCAATGTAAAGAATTTTTTATCAAATTGACCTGGGTAGTCAACCTATGAAATTTAGTTACGAGCCCATAGTTTGAAGTATCTTATGCCATAATTTAGTTCAGAGTTGGCAAATAAAAACATAGCTCCTTAATACAGCACTCTAAGCAACCATTTGCAGTTGGCACCTGAGATAAAACAGATTGGCGATCCTTCGTCCAGATAATTTAGTTCTACTCTTTGACTCCATCTCATACAGCTTTACTTTCTAAGGCCCCAGCTTTTTCTTGATAGTAAATGAAAATGCTGCCAAATCCTTCAGTTTTCAGTTCAAAATCTTAGTGCCTAGTTTAGCAGCTCATTATATTTTTTTCTACGTCAACATATCTGAAGAGTTGTATACCTATCAATGATAGAGGCTTACAATTAAAAGGATTCTTACACTAAATGAGATGTGGATGGGCAATGGAGGGAAGGTATGCAGAAAGTGGGCCATTTTATCCCTGCCAACTTAAATGAAGGAAAGGAGAACTTAAAAAACTAAAAAAAAGTCACTGATATAGATGCTTTCCAGACTTCTCAGTCTCACTAGTACTTTATAGGAACCAGCAAAGCTGGTAGATTTAATAAGTATAAGCGAGTTTTCTCTTTTGCCATAGTTACATAATCCAAGACAGCACACCTCTTCATTAACCATGTCAAGTCCATACACTTATTTTAATATAAAAGGAGATAAGAGCTATTATACTTCAGGGTATGAAGAAAAATCTCATTTCTACCAATAGTTCAAATAGACTGCTGAATTCCAAAATGTAAGTTGCTGGGGGTTTATCTTTCAAAGCAACACTCAGAACTAAAACTATACAAATCCAACCTGTCAACTGACAGCATTACCTCCAGGTCTGTTTGCCTTTGTAGTTTTTGTATCATGTTGATAGTCTTATTCACAGTAGCACAAATGCGCCTCTTAGTCTCTTTCTGCTCAACAGCAGCTGGTTCAAAGCGTGCATGCAAAGTTTGATATCGAGACTTTATCGCTGACAATTCTTTTAAGAGCGTAACCGGATTTTTCTATATCAGGAAGAAAGTTAATACACATTAAATTATGAAAAGGAAAAATTAAGCTTTTTTTTAAGAATTAAAATACTAAATATACAACATAGTCTACCATTCATTTAATTCAACACTGCTGAGTATTTAATTATGCAATCGTATGACAGAGGATGGGAGGTGGAAAAGAAAGAAGTATAAGACCTAGATCCTATTTGCAAGGAATTTATAGCCCAGGTTCAGAAACAACCCACAAAAAAATTTAGCAATAATAAACAGCTAATAAAGTTACTTTAAATATATAACATTGGATGCATAGTTCACAATTACATAGTATTTCCAAAATATTATTTAAATACTATTCAGCAGAAGATTAAAGGCACTATTTTTATTTTTTCTTCAAGAATAAGATAACTTGAAACCATATATTATAAAATTCTTAACATACTATCATGGTGCTAAAGTATATGTACATACTAATTTATTTATATACATACAAAATACAAAATTCATGCCAACTCACATGTATTTATAAACTACACTGGTTTTTCAAATTCATTTTGTAATATAAATAGCCACTATTCCATAAAAGATACTTTGAGCTCTGCCACTTAGTAATTCTTTTCATTCCCTAATGGTTCCCGGCTATTCCAAACTTTCTCTACTCCCTCCAATTCCCCTCCACTCCTTCTTGGCACATGACTTCACCAACTGCTTTGCTAAGAAGACAGAAACTATCCAGTAGAAACTCCAACTTCCTGGCTTTTCATCCCCAAATGAAAACATCTATGGACATTCTCATCCTTACACTACATCCACTCCTAACACTACCACTCCTATTACTGTTTCCTCCTTATATCCCCCAGAACCTTAAATTCTCTGTATATCAATAACCTTTTCAATATATCCCTTTGTTCAGACTTCAGATCTTCCCTATACTGGGGGGAAAAATTAATCCCTTGTTTTGATTCTGTTGTCACTTCAAAATCAGTTTCATTTTTCTCACTCCATTTATCGCCAAGCTTCTAGAACCTATAATAACATATTTCCTCAATTTAACACCCCATTAGACTAGTATCTTTTAACAAAGTATTTAAAACAATCGAAAGGTCAGTCTTGCTATATAGCATATATTTTTGTTTGTTTGGTTTTGGTTGTTTTGTGTTTTTTTTAGAATATATTTTTGACACTCCTCTTGCCGTTCCTTAATTTCTTCCTATTCCATCTTCTTAAAGTGAACTTTTTTTTTTTTTTTTTTTAGACAGAGTCTTGCTCTGTTGCCCAAGCCAGAGTGCCGAGTGCCGTGGCAGTAGCCTAGCCCACAGCAACCTCAAACTCCTGGGCTCAAGTGATACTCCTGCCTCAGCCTCCTGAGTAGCTGGGACTACAGGCATGTGCCACCACGCCCAGCTAATTTTTTTTTCCTATTTTTAGTTGCCCAGCTAATTTCTATTTTTAGTAGAGACAGAGTCTCACTCTTGCTGAGGCTGGTCTCGAACTCCTGACCTAAAGTGATCCCCCTGCCTCGGCCTCCCAGAGTGCTAGGATTACAGGTGTGAGCCTCCAAGCCCAGCCTAAAGTGAATTCTTGATTTCCATAAAACTATACTATCTTGGTTATCTTCTAATAGGAAGGAATAGGGACAGGAAATGTATCTTAAACACTGTTAAAATAATTCTGCAGGAAGTGATCAAGGCCTATAGCATGAGCAGCAGAAGTTGTAGAGAGACAGAAGGGAGACAGCGTGAAAAACATTAAGAGAACCTGGTGGTTTGTTTGATATGGGAGAAGAAATAACAGATGACACCAAACGTATAGTCTGGCAAATAGAGAAATAGTATATATTAAAATAATTTTTGGAGTATCTACTTATTATAAACCCTAATAACATTGCGACCTGCCCCATTGCCCTGAATGGTATATTTCTATTCATGTGTCTAGACATCTGAATATTGTATTGAATAAAAGATCTCCAGTAGAAGAACTAGAAAATAGAGTCCAAGAAATATCCCCAAAAGTAGGAAGAAAACCACAAAAATGAAAACAGCTAAGAAAAGATAAGAAAAACAGATGGTAGATGGAGGAGGTCCAATATATGACTGGTAAAAATGGCCATAAAAGAAAATTTCTTTTCTTATGAATATACTAGGTAAGAAATGTTATAACACTTCAGGTTCATATGTTTTCAGAGTAAAAGGGTCCCACTAAGTGACAGCACAATTAATGAAAAGATCTATACTATAACTATAAATTTCACAGCATAGAACAAATATTCCGAAAGTTCCAAGACATGGGCAAGGTGGTGGGGGAAGCAGAGGATTGAGGAGGAAAGCACACACAAAGGATCAGAAATCAGATTGGTATCTATTTCTCAACAGCAACAATAGAAGCTAAAAACACCACAAAGCAATGATGTTAAAATTAAGAGAAAATCTCCAATTTAGAATTCTATATTCAAACAAACAATTTACCAAGTAAGGGGTTAAATAAAGGGCGCAATGAAGACTTTTTCAAACATTCAATGTGTCAAAAAGTTAACTTTCTGTGTATTCTTCTTCAGGTTATTCTTCCTCAGCACACTCTTCTAGAGCAGCGGTCCCCAACCTTTTTGGCACCAGGAACCGGTTTCATGGCAGACAATTTTTCCATGGACCAGAGGTGGTTGGCGGGGCGGGGGGTGTGGGGGGGATGGGATGCTTCAAGCCCATTACATTTACTGTGCACTTTATTTCTATTATTATTACATTATAATATATAATAATTATACAACTCACCATAATGCAGAATCAGTGGGAGCCCTGAGCTTGTTTTCCTGCAACTAGACAGTCCCATCTGGGGTCGATGGAAGACAGTGACACCCGAAGTTTGTTGCTTATGTCTAGTCTACTCCCTAATCTCATTTTGGTTGCTGTCACTGCAGAAAGCCCTGCTTCACAAAGATAGGATGCTGGAAATGGAAGCAGGCTTTTCAGTGCTTTTGTGGGAATCTCAGGATATTCCGCCTTGACTTTAATCCAGAACATACGAAGATTTGAAGTTGTATCAAACATACTTTTAAGACCACTATCATTTGCAATCTCAAGTAGTTGATCCTCTTTTAGCACCGACTAAGTCGACTCACCTGGCTTATTAACAAATGGGTAGAGGATCCATTCCTTCCCAGTTCAGGGGTCTTTTGTGGTTGGGAAGTAATGTTCAAACTCTTCTAAATGGTGAGATAGGTGATCATGCACCAGCTTGGAGAAAGAAGGCCCTGGCTCAGTCTCTTTCAAAATCTCTGCTAATATTTGAAACATATCAAAAATCACAATATTAGGCCGGGCACGGTGGCTCACACCTGTAATCCTAGCACTCTGGGAGGCCGAGGCGGGATGATGGCTTGAGCTCAGGAGTTTGAGACCAGCCTGAGCAAGAGCAAGACGCCATCTCTACTATAAATAGAAAGAAATTAGCCAAACAACTAAAAATAGAAAAAATTAGCCAGGCACGGTGGTGCATGCCTGTAGTCCCAGCTACCCGGGAGGCTGAGGCAATAGGATCGCTTGAGCCCAGGAGCCTGAGGTTGCTGTGAGCTAGGCTGACGCCACGGCACTGTAGCCCAGGCAAGAGAGTGAGTCTCAAAAAAAAAAAAGAAAAAATCACAATGTTTACTTGTTGCCCCCATAATTCCAGTTTGGCTTTGAATGTGGCCACTTTATCTGCTGACTTGAACACAGTTGTCATTCTCCCCTAAAGTGACAGATTGAGTTCATTGAGCAGGTTGAATATGTCACACAAGCGTGCAAGTTTTGCCACCCATTCTTTGTCACTGAAATGTGCTACCATTGGTGACTGTTTCTCTAAAAGAAATCTCTGGAGCAGCTCTCATAACTCAAAAACTCTGGTCAGTGATCTTCCTTTAGAAAGCCATCTCACTTCTGTGTATAAGAGAAGACATGTGTGCTTTGCGTCCATCTCCTCACAGAGCTGAGTGAACAGACGTGAGTTAAGGGAATGTACTTTAATGTGGTTGATCATTTTAATCACATCCTGCAAAACATTGTTAGTTCAGGTGACATTTTTTGGTTGACCAGCATTTCTCTATGGATGACAGTGTGTAGACTCACATTCAGAAGCAACCTCTGTGACCCAAGTAGTGAAATCAGAAAGTTGTCCAGTCATGGCAGCCACTCCATCCATCTGTGCATATACCAACACAAAATGACCAATTCAGTTTTCCTGATATGTAATCATTCAGAGACTTGAATAGTTCTGCAGTCTATGTACACAAAAGTGCACATAACATATCCTCATGCACAACCTCCTGAAAAATATATCACACAAAAACAAGCATTGTTGCTTTATTGTCAATGTCGGTAGACTCGTCAACCTGGACTGCATACCATGGTGACTCATTAATCCTCTCTAACAATTGTGCCTTAATATACTCTGCTATTTCATCAATTAATCTAGTTATGGTGCTAACCAAAAGAGGAACACGTGCCACCTTTTGAACTGCAGCCTCCCCCAAAAGTTACAGCAAACATCCTTAGTAGAAGGCAGGATCAACTCTTCACCAAGAGTAAAGGGCTTGTTAGCTTTAGCAATGCGGTTAGCCACTAACAGTGATGCTCTCAGTGCAGACACATTTGATGAAGTGGTGGCCTTCAATAATTGCTTCTGTTCTTCATGTTCACATTTTTTTCTTTTGAAAAACTCAAAAGGCTTGTCTTTTAATGCAGGGTGCTTGGTCTCCATGTGGCAAAGCAGTTATGAAGGTTTCATGGCTTCATTGGATAGCCAGTCTGGAGAATGTGAATCACCTGTTGCAATGAACCCATAATTTAAGTAGTGCTCTTGGTATTTTCTTTTAAATGCAGCTTTCATTTTGTTCGCAGTCTTAGAGTCTTCTGTTGTCTCATCATTGGGTCTTTCCCCCTTTTCAAAGAAGCTCTCCAGCGACCTTTGTTTTTTACTCATTTTTGCTAGGGTTAGCTTGTAGGCTTACCAAAACTGTGACTGAGACAAGTGAGCAGTGCAGGGAAAGAGGCATGGACGGAAGTGGTAAATAAAATAATGGGCAGGCAGTCCTTTAGCTCGGACCAAAGTTAAGTGTCAGATTCTACTTAAAGCCTGCTACCAGATGCAGCTGTACAATTGAAGTACATTAACTCACTTGCCACTATAAAGCCTGCCACCAGATGCAGCTGTACAATTGAAGTAAGATGCCCACTTGCCACTATAATGCCTGCCACTAGATGCAGCTTAATTGTCACTTGCCACTCACTGATAGGGTTTTGATATGAGTCTGCAAGCAATTAATTTATTATGGTCTCTATGCAGTCAAACCTCACTGCTAATGATAATCTATATTTGCGGCCACTCCCCAGCACTAGCATCACTGCCTCAGCTCCACCTCAGATCATCAGGCATTAGATTCTTATAAGGAGCGCATCACCCAACCTAGATACCTCGAATGCAATTTACTGTAGGGTTCATAGTCCTGGGAGAATCTAATGCTACCACTGATCTGACAGGAGGCAGAGCTCAGGCAGTGATGCAAGCGATGGAGAGTGGCTGTAAATACAGATGAAGTTTTACTCACTCGCCCTCCGCTCACCTTCTGCTGTGCAGCCCAAATCCTAACAGGCCACGGACTGGTATCAGTCCAGGCCTGGAGTTGGGGACTTGCAGTTCTAAGGGATATGCTTCACCACATCAAGGAAATAAACCAAGACAGAGTGAAACGTGATCCAATACAGGAATAAAATAAAGGCAAAGGCCAAAATGATAGTAAAGAAATCCCAGAAAGACAACCATGCAGAAGGCCTGTAGAGCAGGAGGTCAGATTGGTGCAGAAGGATAGAGCACCAAAAGAGATGTTCCCATGGAAGAAAATGAAACTTAGGGAACATGTAGTGTGTCTGAAAATGTTGAGAAGAGCTGAAAAAAAAGTGAAAGCAGGTACTCAAAACAGATATTTGTACACCAGTGTCACAGCAGCAGCATTCACAATAGCCAAACGTGGAAGCAAACCAAATGTCCACTGACAGATGAATGGATAAACATAATGTGGTACATATATACATACAATGGGATATTATTCACCCTTGGAAGGAATTTCTGATTGCTACAATATGGATGAATATGGAGAACATTATGCTAAGTAAAATAAGCAAACATTATGCTAAGTGAAAGAAGTCACGAAAGGACAAATATCGTATGATTCTACTTATCTGAGTTACCCAGAGCAGTTAAATTCATAGAGATAGAAAGTAGAAAGGTGGTTGCTAAGGATTGGAGAAGAAAAAGGATGGGCTTTATAGTTCAATGGGTATAGAGCTTCAGTTCAGGGAGATGAAAAAGTTCTGGAGATGGATAGTGATGATACTTGCACAACAATGTGATATACTTAATGCCATTGAACTGTATACTTAAAAAAGATTTAAACAGTAAATTTCATGTTATATATATTTTACCATAATTTTTTTAAAAAACCAAGAATGTGAAATGGTTAACCTGCTTTGGTCATATTAGTATTTTGGTGGTTCCTTAAAATATTAAACAAGTTGCCATATGGCCAGTAAGTCCATTAGTGGCCTTATATACCCAAGAGAAATTAAAACATGTCCATACACGAACTTGTACATGAATGTTCATAGCAGCATTATTCATAGTGCCAAACGGTGGAAAGATGTCCATCAACTGATGGATAGATAAGAAAATGTGGTATAGCCATACAATGGAATATTGTTCAGTGTTAAAAAGAAATGAAGGGGCCACGTGAGGTGGCTCGCACCTGTAATCCTAGCACTTTGGGAGGCTGAGGCAGGAGGATCACTTGAAGTCAGGAGTTCAAGACCAGCCTGAGCAAGAGCGAGACCCAAAATTAGCTGGGCATGGTAGCACACACCTGTAATCCCAGCTACTCAGGAGGCTCAGGCAGGAGGATCACTTGAGACCAGGAGTTTGAGGTTACAGCGAGCTATGATGATACTGTAGCCTGGGAGACAGAGCTAGAGACCCTGTCCCAATTAAATAAAAAAAAAAGAAATGAAGGAAGGCTGAGGCAAGGGGATTGCTTAAGGCTAGGAATTCAAGATTAGCCGGGCAACATCGCTCCCCACCCCCGCCAATCTCTAAAAAAAAATTTTTTTAATTAGCCAGTCATACCAGCTACTCGGGAGGCTGAGGCAGGAGGATTGCTTAAGCCCAGGGGTTCAGGGCTGGGTAAGCTATGGTCACACCACTACTGATTCATGCTACAATGTGGATAAAGCTTGAGAATATTATGCTAAGTGAAAGAAACCAGACAAAAGGCCACATATTATATGATTCCATTTATGTGAAATGTTCAGATGACAAATCTACAAAGACAGAAAGTAGATTTGTGGTTACTGGAAGCTGGTAGGGCAGCAAGGAAGGGTAATAGGGAGTAACTACTAACGGGTATAGGGTTTCTTTCTGAGGTGATCAAAATGTTCAAAAACTTACTGTGGTGATGGCTGCACAACACTGTGAATATACTAAAAAACCATTGAATCATATATTTTAAAAGGGTGAATTTTATGGTATATGAATCATAGCTCAATAAAACTTTTTTTTAAAGCTGTAGAAAAGAAAAATAACTGGATTAGAACAAAGATGAGAGACGGAAGACAGAGGAAAAGTGGGAGCACTAAATGAAATGTGTTCCACTGTAGTACTTGAAAGATACTGATTCAAATGACTCCTTTAGTCAGTCATTAGGTGGTACCACTGGACCAGAATGGTTAGTTTGTCCTCAGTCAGAAAGAAAAAGAAAAGACAAAGAAAAAATCAAGTTAGTTAGGGAGCTAAAACAGTTCAAACTACACTGCCATAGAATTCTGGCATTCCATGAAATAAACAGTAAAAATTAAACATTCATGAAGTTTTCCCAATTTTGTATAAAATGTTACTTTAATTGTACTTCTGCATAATCCAAAAAAATTTTTTGAGTTGTATGGAATTTTTTGAAAAACTGTGAAATATGGTATTTCTTGTCTCCTGGGAAGAACTATGAAAATACATTAATGATTTAAGTGGTAAATTAATGTTAACAAATAATGCTTGGAGATTGTTCACTTTTACCCCATGGACATGTATACTTACGATTTTATGGCATATGAACAGAGTTAATGTTTCTAATCAACCTAAACTTAGAATAACTAAATATATAATTTTATGCAAAAATCACTGTTCATATCATATAATTAAACAAATTTAACAATATATCATCATCTTCCTCAGAGAATATCGTGACTGCCAGGACTTCTCCCCTCAAACTTATTGAAGAACCACTGCTTTAGAAGTAGCTATATTGTCTCTTGGAATTTCAGTAGCTTGTACCTCTGACCTCAGTGATTTTTTTTTTTAAAGGTTAAAAAAGAAAGCAATAAATTTCACTGACTATTGGTATAATCTCTCCAGTATGCCATGACCAAATTTCCAACACAAGATTTTAAGATTCTATAAACTTAATAATATAATTCTTATCTATTACTATTTTACTATTAGAAATACTATTAGAAAATTCTTTTTATAAAATATTCTGTTAAAAAGGATTTTTTTTTTTAAAAAAAGGTTTATTTAATTTGCAGATTACCTCGCCTGCTGAATCAGGATGATTAGTCTTGATTTCGTATTCCAGCCTGTACTGAATGTAATCCAAATCAGAGTCAGCTTTCTGGAACTAAAGACCAGCACAAATCATCATTTTGTAAATCAAAAGACTTACTAGTAAAAAACGACACTTTATTCTTTCTTTTCTCTTTATATTTGTTAGAATTTAACAATATGTGATATATATTCATTTGAAAATATGCAAATAAAAAGTATATAAAATATCCATTATCCATAATACCTATGCTCTAATAAAAATTTTAAAACTATTTAATATTTTTAAAGTCATTTCTCTATGCCTTCCTCTTAGATTTTAAGTGAAAATTCAAATACTAAGTAGCTATTGTCATATATTAACACAAAATAATAATGACTTCAAGAATTTCCTAACATCATTGACACTCTCAAAAATTAGGCAGGGTTTTTTCACCCGTGGTTTCAAGTTAAAAGACAGAACAAATTAATTTCAGGAATACTTTCATTGTTACCTTTATTTGCAACTCCATTAACAAAAAAGCTACAGATATGTGCCCTCAAAATTAGAGGGCTTAAAGAATGACGAACTATACAAGAAAAGCTACACATGATACCGGCGAAACAGTTTGAATAATCCCAAATGTTGTCCATGAGTCTATACCTAACATCTCAGGTATCTTTCTTCCTTCTGGTATTTATTCTACCAGCTATCTTTTAAGGATATTTCTTAACATATTGCTTGCTTTTTTCCTGAAATTCAATGTACTTAGAACACATATGGTAACTGTTCTTGCTCTTTTTATGATACAGTACACCAGCAGAAATCACACTAAGCAGACTGTAAAAAAATTATAAGCAAGACTTATACACTGAAAACTGTAAAACACAGTTGAGAGAAAGTTTAAAATACCTAATACATGGAGAGATATATAATGTTCATACATCAGAAGGTTCAATATTGTTAAGATATCACTTCTCCCCAAATTGTTCTTTAGATTCAACATAATCCCAACCAAAATCTCGCAGGCTTTTTTTGTAGAAATTGACAGAAAACTTATTTGTAAATGCAAAATGATGAAACAGTTTTGGAAAACAAGAACAAAGTTTGAGGCTTTTCAAGACTTACTATAATTTCCATATATTTCT